AGATGTGGTCCATATATACAATGGAATATTACTCAGCCATCAGAAAGGATGAATACCCAACTTTTACATTAACATGGATGGGACTGGAGGAGATTTTGCTAAGTGAAATAAGTCAAGCAGAGAAAGTCAATTATCGTATGGTTTCACTTATTTGTAGAACATAAGGAATAGCATGGAGGACATTAGGAGAAGGAAGGTAAAAATGAGGGAGGGGAATTGGAGGGAGAGATGAACCATGAGAGACTATGGACTCTGAGAGACAAACAGGGTTTTATAGGGGAGGGGGGAGGGGGGATTGATTAGCCCAGTGATGGGTATTAAGGAGGGCACACACTGCATGGAACACTGGGTGGTATACGAAAACAATGGATTGTGGATCAGCACATCAAAAACCGATGTTGTATTGTATGGTGACTAACATAACATAATAAAATTAAAAAAAAAAAAAGAGTCTCTATGGCTTGTTTCACTCTCCTTTTTTTCTTTTCTCCCTTCCCATATGTTCATCTGTCTTTCTTAAATTCCACATATGAGTGATACCATATGGTACTGACTTATTTCACTTAGCATAATATACCCTAGCTCCATCCATGTCATTGCAAAAGACAAGACTTCATTCTTTTTGATGGCTGAGTGATATTCCATTGTACATATATACCACATCTTCTTTATCCACTCATCAGTTGGTGGACATTTGAGCTCTCTCCATATTTTGGCTAATGTTGATAATGCTGCTATAAACATCTGGGTGTATGTATCCCTTGAAATCTGTGAAAAAAGATATATTACAAAAAATTAAAATAAGTGTATATCAGAACAAAGAGATTATCAGAAGCAGACAGGAACATTATACAGTCATAAAAGAGCAACTCACCAAGAAGACAGATGTACATGTACTAAATAATAGAGCTGAAAAATATGTGAAGTCTGCACACTTAGGACTGAAAGAAGAAATAAATACACAATTATAGTTGGAGACTTCAACACCCCTCTGTCAAGAATTGATAGAATAGCTAGACAAAAGTCAGCAAGATTATAGGAAAACACAACCCTATCACTACCTAACAGGATCTTTGGATATTTGTAGAACACTCCACCCAAGAACATAATACATTTTTTTTTTTCTGAAGTTCCCATGAAACATTCTCAATGATGGACTATATCCTGGGCCATAAAACAACCTAAACAGATTTAAAAGCATTGGATTTTTTTCATACAGAATCTTTTTTCTGACCACAATGGAGTTCAACTTAGAAATCAATAAAAGAAAGATAACAGGACAATTTCCCAATACTAGGGAACTAAAGAACACAATTTTAAATAACTCATGGTGGAAGTCTCAGGGGAAATTTAAAAATACATTGAACTGAAAGAAAATGAAAATATCACAGGTTAAAATTTGTGGGAACAGCTAAAGCCGTGCTGAGAGGATAATTTATGACAATAAATATTTACATTTAAAGAGAGAAAAACAAATCAGTAATCTAAGCTTCCATCACAAGCATAGAAAAAGAAGAGTAGAATAAACCCAAAGCAAGTAGAAGGAAGGCAATAATATAGGTAAAAGCAGAAATCAATGAAACTGAAAACAGGACAATTGGGGAAAAAAGGAATCTAAAAACTGGTCATTTAAAAATATCAATAAAATCTACAAACTGCTGAAAAGGCTAACAGAAAGAGAGAAGCCACAAATTACCAATATCAGGAATGAAATGAGGTATCACTACAGACCCTGCAGACATCAAAAGGATCAGATGGGAATGTATGCATGCATATATTGTATGATTTCATTTATGTAACAGTCTTGAAATGACAATACAGAAATGGACAACAGATTAGAGATTCACAGGAGTAAGGGATGAGGAGCAGGCAGGAGGGTAGTGGATGTGATTATAAAGGGGTAGCAGAATGATCCTTCAGGTGATGAAATTGTTCTGTTTTGACTATCAGTGTTGGGGTTCTGACTGTGATATTGTACTGCTGTTTTGTAAGATGTTACCATTCCCAGGCGGAATTGGGTAAAGGGTATATGGTATCTCTTTGATTATATCTTACAGCATATGCGTGTAGTTATCACAAAATAAAAGTTAAACAAGAATCTCACGTAAAAAACTCTAAAAAGCAAACTTAAAATTGTTTCCTCTGAGGAAATTATGAAACAGCAACATTCTTTTCTTCATTCATAAATGTAGTATTTTTGTGTCTAAAGCTAAAACAAATGGAGGATAGTTTCTCGAAGTTTATTTAATTGAACCATTAATGTTACTAAAACCATAGATATCCATTATATTTTCTATTTGGATTTTTCTTCATCTTTGCTGTATATCCTTCTCAAAAGGTATTCTTTAAAATGCTCCATGAAGGGCGCCTGGGTGGCTCAGTCGTTAAGCATCTGCCTTCAGCTCAGGTCATGATCCCAGGGTCCTGGGATCGAGTCCCACATTGGGCTCCCTGCTCCGCAGGAAGCCTGCTTCTCCTTCTCCCCCTCCCCCTGCTTGTGTTCCTGTTCTCGCTCTCTCTCTCTCTCTGTCAAATAAATAAATAAAATCTTAAAAAAATAAATAAAATAAAATACTCCATGAAGTTTAGAAATTAGCAAGAAAAAAATGGAAATCTAGGAGAAGCATAATAAAGTATTTTTAAAATAATATTTAGATTTTAGTTGATGTAAGAACACTAAGCATGCAAGGGTCTAAGATACTCTGGAATTGAGAAAAAGGAAGCAAATTATGTGACTGTTTTGCAGCAAGCTAAGCTTTGAATAGTTTTATTTATTTTTTGGCATTCATTGTATTGAGTGATAATGATTTTTCATATGTTGGGCATCAATTTATGAATACTCAAAGGTTTGAACGCAATACTCAAAAATATGATTTTTTTGCTGTCATTCCTGAATTCACTGTTCTTTTTCTCTTGTACTCCTTGTTTTTCCAAACTTTCAGATCAATATGCTTCTCAATTTTAAGGATGACAAAAGTGAATGTCCATGTCCTGAAGAAATCCGTGACCAACTCTTAGATTTTCATGAAGATTTGATGACACATTGTGGTAAAGTCTTCTTGACTTAACTCTTATTAAATGTGTTATATATTTATTTATTTACTTGTTTATTTATTGAGAAATAATTGTATTAAGAAATAATTGACATATACCACTGTATAAGTTTAGGATGTACTTTGTGATTGTTTTATTTAGCTACATTTTGAAATGATTACCATAATAGGTTTGGCTAACATCCATCTTCTTATATAGATGCAATAAAAAGAAAAGAAAGAACAAATAAAGGCAAATTTGTTTTTCCTTATGACAAATACTCTTAGGATTTACCCTCTGAAAAAGAACTTTCCTGTATATTGTATAGCAGTGTTAGCTACACTCATCATGCTGTGTGTTGCATCCCTAGTACTTATTTAAAGTTTGTAACTTTTGACCACTTTCCTTGAATTCCTCTCTCCCTACTCCCCACTTCTAATAACAAGTATGATCTCTTTTTCTCTGAGTTTGTTGTTTTTAGTTTCCACATATAAGTGAGATCACACGGTATTTCTCTTTTCTCTGTCCGACTTCTCTTAGCATAATGCCTTCAAGTTCTGCCCATGTTGTCACAGATGGTTGGATTTCCTTGTTTTTTGGCTAAATAATATTCCATTGTATGTATATACCACAACTTCTTTATCCATTCATTTGTGGATGGACACTTAAGTTGTTTCCATATCTTGGCTATCATAAATAATGCTGCTGTGAACATGGTGGTGCAGATACTTTTTTCAAGTAAGTGTTTTCATTTCCTTTGGATATATTCCCAGAAGTGAATTACTGGATCATATGGTAATTCTATTTTTAAATTTTTTTTTAGATTTTATTTATTTATTTGACAGTGACAGCGAGAGAGGGAATACAAGCAGGGGAGTGGGAGAGGGAGAAGCAGGTTCCCCGCTGAGCAGGGAGCCTGATGCGGTGCTCAATCCCAGGATCCTGGGATCATGACCTGAGCCGAAGTCAGACACTTAACAACTGAGCCACCCCAGCACCTCTATTTTTAAAATTTTTTGAGGATCCTCTATAATGTTTTGTTTGTTTTTTGCTTTTGAGTTATAGGAGCCCTTTATATGTTTTGGATATTAATTCCTTATCAGATATATAGCTTACATACATTTTTTTCCCATTCTGTAGCTTGTCTTTTCACTTTGTTAGTGGTTTCTTTTGGTTTTTATGGAAACTGTTTAGTTTGATGTAGTCCCATATGTTTATTTTTGCTATTGTTACTTGTAGTTTAGGTGTCATATCCAAAAAATTATTACCAAAATCCATATCAAGGAGCTTTATTTTTACATTTTTTCTAGGAGTTTCATGATATCAGGTCATACATTTAAGTCTTTCCTCTATTTCTAGTTAATTTTTATGAGTGGTTAAGATATGGTCCAGTTTCATTCTTTTAAATGTGAATATCCAATTTATCCCAGCCCTGTTTATTGAAGACTACCTTTTCTCTGTTGGGTATTCTTGGCTCCCTTGTCAACTCTTAGTAGGCCATACATGCTTGGGTTTATTTCTGGGCTCTCAATTCTTTTCCATTTATCTCTTTGTCCATTTTTATGTCAGTACCATGCTGTTTGATGGCTATAGCTTTAATAGCTTAGCTTGAAACCAGGAAGTGTGATACTTCTTGCTTTATTCTTCTTTCTCAGGATTTCTTTGGCTATTAGGGAGATTTTGTGATTTCATATAAATTTGGGGAAGGTTTTTTTCCTACTTCTATAAAAAATGCCATTGGAATCTTGATAGGGATTGCATTGAATCTATAGATAGCTTTTGATAATATTACCATTTTAAGATGCCTTTCCATGTATTTGTATCCTCTTCTTTCTTTTCACCAATCTTTTGTAATTTTTAAGATAGAGATCTCTCACCTCCTTCATTAAACTTATTCCTAAGAATTTTATTTTTCTTGATGCTATTGTAAATGAGATTGATTTCTTAATTTCTTTTTCAGAAATTTCATTTTAGTTTATTAAAACACTTTATATTGTATGTTAATTTCATGTCTTGCAAGTTTATTGGATTCATTGATTAGGTTTAACAGTTTTTTTGGTTGAGTCTTTAGGATTTTCTATGTATAAAATCATGTTGCCTGCAGATAGAGACCATTTTACTTCTAGTGCCTAGTGAGATGATCATATGGTGATCATATGATTCTTTTCATTCATTCTGTTATTGTGGTGTGTCACATTGATTGTCTTGCATATGTTGGACCATCCTAGCATCCCAGTGATAAATCTCGCTTGATCATGATAAATGATCCTTTTAATATGCTGTTGAATTCAGTTTGCTGGTATTTTATTGAGAAATTTTGCATCTGTGTTCATCAGGTATAGTGGCCTGTGATTTTCTTTTCTGGTAGTGTCCTTTTGCATTTTTGGTATCGGGATAATGCTGTCCTAGTAAAGTGATTTTGAGAGTGTTTCCTCCTCTTTCGTTTTTTTTGGAAGAGTTTGAGAAGAATTGGTGTAATTCTTTAAATGTTTAGTAAAATTCACCAGTAAAGCTTTGCTTCATTGTGAGGTTTTGATTACTGATGTACTCTCCTTACGATTAATGGGCCTATTCAGATTTTCCATTTCTTCCTTGGTAAGTTGTATGTTTCTAAGAACGTTTCCATTTCTTCTAGCTTGTCCACTTTGTTCACTGATAATGTTCATAGTTCTGTTTTACAGGTCTTTGAATTTCTGGGGTATCTTTTTAATTTTTTCACTTATAATGTCTCCTTTTTCATTTATAATGTTGATTTGAGTACTGTCTTTATTCCCTTTGGCTAGGCTAGCTAAGGGTTTGTCAATTTTATTTTTTATTTTTTTCAGGGACTTAACTTAGTTTGGTTAATCTTTTCTATGGTTTTTTGATTTCTATTTCAATAACTTCTGCTCTAATCTTTCTTCTAGTACCTTCAGGCTCTGTTAGTTCTTCTTTTTCTAGTTCCTTAAGGTGTAGAGTTAGGTCATTTATTTGAGATCTTTCTTCTTCATGTAGGCATTTATTGCTATGAACTTCCCTCTTAGAAGTGCTTTAGCTGCACCCATTAATTCTGGTATGTTGTATTTCCAGTTTTGTTTGTCTCAATAAATTCTTTCTTTTATTTCCCCTTAAATTTCTTCTTGGATTCATTGGTTGTTAAAGAGAGTGTTGTTTAATTTCTCTGTGTTCATGAATTTTCCAGTTTTCCCCCTTGTCATTGATTTCTAGTTTCACGCCATTGTGGTCAGAGATTACTGGTATAATTTCAACCCTCTTGAATTTGCTAAGAGTTGTTTTATGGCTTAACACATATTCTATCCTAGAAAATGTTCCATGTGCACTTGAGAAGAATGTCTATTCTGCTGTCGCTTGATAGAATATTTTTGTATATGTCTGTTAGGTCCATTTGGTCTACAATGTTGTTAAAATCCACTCTTTCCTTATTGATTCTCTCCTGTATGATCTATCCATTGTTAAGAGTGGGATACAAAAGTCCCCCAATTATTACTGTATTACTCCTTATTTCCCCTTTTAGTTTTTTTAGTTTTTGCTTTATATGTTTAGGTACTCTAGTATTGGGTGTAAAAATATTTATAATTATTATATCCTCTTGATATATTGACCCCTGTATCATTATATACTGACCTTCTTTGTCTCTTTTTGGCATATTTAAAGTCTATTTTGTCTGATGTAAGTATAGCTTCCCCTGTTTTCTTGTTGTTTTGTTTTGTTTGATTACCACTTGCTTGACATGTCATTTTTCATCTCTTTGCTTAGTCTTTGTGTGTCTTTAAGGCTAATGTGAATCTCTTAGGGGCAGCATATGGTTAGATCTTGTTTTTTTATTCAACCATTCTGTGTCTTTTGGTTGGAGAATTCTATCCATTTATACTTAAAGTAATTGATAGGTAAGGACTTACTATTGCTATTTTGTTAATTTTTTTGTTTTATTTTGTAGATCTGTTTTTCCTTGTTTCATATCCTTCTGTATTTCATGTATGTATGTGTTGATATATTTGTTATGAGTATGCTTTGACTTCTTTATTGTGTTCTTTTGTATAATTACTACAAGATTTTCCCTGTGGTTACCGTAAGGTTTACATACAATATCTTCAAGTTATAACAACCTATTTTAATTCATTAAAAAAAAAAATTTAAACTAGAGTTGTGAGTTATGCACCACTATTACCATATTGCAGAATCTAACTTTGATTATATGTTTATCATTACCAGTGAGATTTATACTACTTTTTTGTGTTTTTACAATGTTAATTATTGTTCTTTGACTTCCATTCAAAGAACTTCCTCTAGCATTCCTTGTAAGACAGATCTGGTAGTAATGACCTTTGAGGAAGCTTTTGTTTGTTGGGGAAAGTCTCTATCCCCCCTCCCTTTTCTGAAGGACAGCTTGACTGGGTATAGAATTCTTGGTGAGTAGTTACTTTCTTTCAATATTTTGAATATGTGATCCCATTCTCTCCTGTCTTGAAAAGTTTCTGATGAGAAATCTGCCAATAATCTTATGGGTGTTCCCTTTTATGTAACTTCTCTCTTTTCTCTTGCTCCTTTTCAAAATTCCTTCTTTGCCTTTGCCTTTTGACAATTTAATCATAATGTGTCTCAGTGTAGCCCTATTCGAGTTCAATACATTTTGGGTCTTTGGGGCCTCATCGATCTGCATGTCCATTTCTCTCCCCAGGTTTGGGAAGTTTTCAGCCATTATTACTTTAAATATACTTTCTGTCACTTTTTCTTTCTTGTCACCTTCTGGAATTCCCATATCCTGAATACTGTGGGAATCTTTCCATTGTGTCCCATAAATCTTACAGGCTTTCTTCAGAGTGAATGATTTTCAGTGACCTATTCTTCAAGTTGTTGATTCTTCTGCATGGTTAAGTCTATTTTTGAAACTCTCAGTTGCATTGTTCAACTATTGTATTTTTCAACTCTAGGATTCCTCTTTGTTCGTTTTAATGGTTACTAATTCCTTGTCAAACTTCTTTTTTTGTTTTGAACTGTTTTCATAATATTGTTTAGTTGTCAAATGTATATTTTTCATACACATATAATGGTACAAAAGTTAATATATATGTAAATAGGTTCATAAATATACATGATGCCTGGTAGGAGTTCATGTAAGAATATTTATTATTGCAAAAATGGTTAACTGACCCTATGTGGAAAGTCATGACAGGTAGAGATATCAGAAAGGCTTTAAGACCAAGTAGGAGATAACCAAAATTTTATTTCTTTTCTCTCTTCTCCTCAGTGGCAGAGAATAGGAAGGGGGAATGGAGACATGTAACCAGATGCTTTGGCAGAAAGATGAATGTTAGATTGATTTAGTCTAAAGACAATTGATCACAAATAGCTGTATTTAAACCAGTTGTGGGGCACTTTTTAGTATTGCCCTAGGAAATGCAGCATGTATCTTTTGAAATTAATTAATGCCTAAGGAAATCCTTCATTAAGTTTATGTCAGTAGCCCAAATCTATTAAGGGAGCTTTCCCCTCCTTTTACTCTAAGAACTTTTAAAATGGAATTTATTTGATGTTCTGAATCTGGTTCTTTTCCCTTTAAGCCATGATGTGGACAAAGTGTTCCAGTGAAAGAAAATGAATTAGCCATTTCTTAAGTGATGTGTAGCACCAGTTGCATTATTTTTATTTTATTTTAATGAAGAGAATATAAGCATCACCTTGCATATTAATTCAGCTTATGAATAAAGAGCTACTAAACGAGTGCCAGAAAGTTGTATTATCTATTATAAATAAACGGGCACTCTGAAATGGTAGTATTACTGCTTCAGACATAAAGCATTCCCTGAATTAGGATGCGTAATTATGCCTGCTCTCTCTTCTCTCAATTTATTAAAATGCCACTGTGATTATTAGAGGCAAATGAGGAGGCTGAAAGCCTAGGAGGTTTTTTGCAGGGTAAAACTGTAGGTCTAGGCAGATAGCCCCTAAAGTCAGACATGCCTCAGGGTCAGCCTAAGGGTCAGACCAAATACCAGAATTGATCTTGACTCCTAAGAGCATCTTTTTGCTGTCTGCACAGTTTTGTATTTTGTCTTGGCTACTAATAGCTCTGGGCCCATCGGAACAGGAGAAAAAGAGAAAGGAAGACAAAAGGCCAGTGAATGGATTTTACCCACGTGCTAGTGAGCAGGAGTGCTTAATTCAATGCTGTCAAATGTTTTGGACATGGCAGGGTTGCTTTAAGCTATGAATGGGAAAAGTTGCAAAACCAGAGCATTATTTCTCCTAAATATATTTTTTTCAAATGCATTTTTCTTTTCTTCTTTCTCTTTGCTTTTCTGTTGCTAGGAATTGAGCTGGATGAAGATGGGTCTTTGGATGGAAACAGTGACTTAACAATTAGGGGCCGCCTGCTATCCCTTGTAGAAAAGGTGACATACCTGAAGAAGAAACAAGCTGAAAAACCAGTTGAGAGTGACTCCAAGAAATCCTGTAAGCAGTATGGAAGGGCACTGGCAAAGCGACTCTGCTGACATTTATTCGTCCTTTGAAGTAACATCAAACTAGATGAGCCAGTGAGAAAACTGAGTTGGAAGCTTCCAAGAATCAGATTCTTAAGTAGATGCCTGTGGCTGTCAGAAGTAGACAGCAGCATCAAACTTTGTTTGTAGGAAAAGATTGAGAGGTAGCAGTATTTATAAGGGTGGATGGGCTCCCTAGAGGGCTACAAATTTAGGTGTTTGATCAGACACTATCAAGAGAAAGTACAAAGGGAGTAATTTAGCTTTCCTATCTATTATGCTATTGACTTGCAAATATTCTTGTACCAAGTTAAACTTTTCTTAAAGTTTAAGTAGTATCTGTAACTACATTTTGGTTCTGAGATATTTTCTAAACCGTTGTGCATTTCTGGTTCATTTTTATCCTACTTAACTGAAGAGTAGCAGCTGATACTCTGCAAATAAGGACACTGGGCCAATGAGTCTCAGACACAACACTCATCCAGAAGGGGTTCAAGTAGTAGGTTGGTGAGATCCATCTTACTTATTACCTCACATCTCAGTCCCCATTCATTCTATGATGCAGCACTGGTTTAGGAACAGTTTTTACGAAAGAAGAAAAATGAACTCATGAAAAATTTTAGGTGGTTTTTTTTTTTTTTGGTGCTAACTTACAATGGGAACCTTTCATCCATACAATGAACTCTAAATTTATTCTTTAGTATCACAACCAAATTTATTTGAATCAAGTCTTCTTCAAAATGAGAGTTCAAGGTTTCTTATGAACCACTTTTTGTTACTATCAGGTTTATGATTTTGACCTATTAAAAATGTCAACATGGTTTTGAGGTGTGTGGAAGTATACTGGCATTTTATCTGCATTTTGGATTCGGTTAAAATTGGTAGTTTTTGTTTGTCCTTAAATAATGTATAGATTAAAGCAGGTAAAACAGCTTCTTTTGAAAATCTGCCAGGGTTAGGAATTAGTACTTCATTATTTGTGTCTTGATCACTTCAACCCTACTTAGCTTTCATAATTTTGCTGTTTATTTCAGGAGGTTTGGAAATTCTGTTGCTTTTATGTGTACTACACTGCATGTCACATTGCAAGTAGTCTTCTATGTATAGAATAGTTTTTCGCTTTAATACAGCTTCACAATCAAAACATTTTAAGTGACAATTAAGGATCCAAATTATAGTAAAAATATAATTATATGACATCACTTTTGCAAATGGCTCAAATGAGGAGAGAGAAAAATAGATAATTCCTTGGATGCCCATGACTGACTTTATAAGGATATATGATGTCAGATCTGGGAGGAAAATAATGGAACTAAGAAAATGAAAGTAAAAGTATTAGGACAACTCCTATTGATTGCCCTATGCATTGCCAACAGTAGTTTTCAAAAAGTAGGTGTAATTCTGAACAGCTTAAATTTCTTAATAAGAGGAGTTTTTAAGGAAAAGCTTGTGTATTTTTATCCTTGCATATTCATAACTCATTTTTACTGACACATATATAAAATGTTTAAGTGAAGTTTATTTTCCTCAAAGAATATCCCTAGCCTTTTCAATTCTGGTACAAATATAGATGTTAGTTTGGGACTATGAGAGGTACAGTTGAAATGCCCAACTAATTTGTCTTCTCTTACTATTTTCCTTTAAAAAAAAATCCATAATGACTTTGCAGCCACTCTTCAGCAGTTGATTTCTGAGACCATGGTCCGATGGGCACAAGAGTCTGTCATTGAAGACCCCGAATTGGTGAGGGCCATGTTTGTGTTGCTCCATCGACAGTATGATGGCATTGGGGGTCTGGTCCGGGCTCTGCCAAAGACCTACACTATAAATGGTGTCTCCGTGGAGGATACCATCAACTTGCTGGCATCTCTTGGTCAGATTCGTTCTCTGCTGAGTGTAAGAATGGGCAAAGAAGAAGAGAAGCTTATGATTCGTGGATTAGGGTAATTTATTTAACTATTACAACCTTTGTCTTATAAATGTCTTCTTTTTACTTGTTTATCCCAGTAGTTGCACAGTAGGTATATTAACACAAATCCACTATTTCGATTACAGGCATGCCTCATTTTATTGTGCCTTGCTTTATTGCACTTCGCAGATAGTGTGTTTTTACAAATTGAAGGTTTGTGACTACCTTGCATTGAGCAAGTCTATTGGCACCATTTTTTTAATGGCGTTTGCTCACTTTGTGTCTCTCTGTGTCACATGACGGCAATTCTCACAGTATTTCCAATTTGTTATTATATCATAATTGTTATGGTGACCTGTGATCAATGATTACAACTCACTGAAAGTTCAGGAGATGGTTAGCATTTTTAGTAGTAAAGTATTTTTTAATTTAGGTATATACATTGATTTTTAAAACATAATACTATTACACTCTTAATAGACTATAGTGTATTGTAAACATAACTTTTATATGTATTGGAAAACCAAAAAAATTTATTGATTTGCATTATTGCAATATTTGCTTTATTGCTGTGAGCTGGATCCAAATCTGCCATATTTGTGAGGTATTTCTGTATATGATTATTAAATGAGATTGTTGCTTTTCTAGACATGTTTTTAAGCTAAATAGAAAGTTGCTCAACAGCAAAATGTGACTAATTTTACAACTAGATGCTAAGGTGGCTATGATATGCAGCACATATTTTAGAGGTTTTTAGGATTAATTTTTCAGTAATGTACAGTCATATGTAAAAATACAGATTAATAAAAACACATTAAAATCCATGCGGAGACCAACACTCACCAGCAGGAAATAATAAGGTATTTTGTCTATATCCACTGGGCCTTGAAAAAAGAATGGGGAAAACAACGCAATTCTTCTGACAATTCAACACCATAGGTGTGCTTCCTATGTGAATTTGGGGATTAACATTTATATCTCATATGTGGTCTAAGGATTCCCAAACTGAGAATGTAACAGCTGGCCCCGGAGGTATACTTTCTCAACTTAAGTCACCGTGAAACCTTGCAGGAAAAAACTAAATACTACCAATGGTTAGCTTACAATCAAAATTACCAAGCACATAAGGAAAAATCCTCCATAAGCAAGGGTCTACAGATACAATAATAGTGGGGTCAGAACACCTGTTTCAAGAACTTCAGATAATACAATGCCAGAAAGAGAACATAAGTTACTATATTTAAAATGGTTAGGAATACAAAGGAATAAATCAATTCTCCAAAAATAAGATGTGGAGAGAAGTCCACAAAGATCTGAAAAAGCTCCAAATAGAGTTTCTAGAAATGAAAAATATAATAAATGACATTTAAAAACAGTAAATTAATTAAATTGGATAAGCTGAAGAGAAAATTAGTGAGTTGGATCATAGATCTGAGAAAATTACTTAGTACTGTAGCCCTGAGAGGTAAAGATAAGGAAATTCGAAAGAGCAGTTACGAGACCTAAGGGAGAGTATAAGAAGGTCCAGTTTACGGTAAACAGGATTTCTGGAAAAGACAGAATAGATGATTTATGGAATGGGAATATTTCAAGAGCTGTTGGCTTGAGATTTTCAGAATCAGTGAAGAGCATGAATTCACAGATTATCCCAAAGCACAGGTAGCTCCACATCTTCACCTGCATAGGCTATGAAACTGCCATAAAACCAGTGATGAATAGACTATTTTCTTTCTTTTTTTTTTTTTT